CCTGTGATTGCCTCCAGAGTTGCGTGCGTGTCCGCCGCTGACTTGGCTTCTTCGTGGGCTAGCTTGCGCTGCGTCGGCGTGCTGTCAGCGATTGGCCGATTGCACCGGCCGGCCTCTTGCCTCGCCCGCTCCGTCCTCTCCCTTGGCACTTCCTCTTTGTATTTTACCATCCATCGGTTAGGTTGTGCACTACGATTCGGGCCGACCTCGACGAACAGCTGCAGCTTCCTCGGCCAGACCAGCGCTTGTCCGCTGCTGCCGCCAACCAGCAAGGTGAAATCGTCCCTAGCCATGCCACTCGTATATAACTGCATCATCATCATAGAAATGAAACATGAGAGCGAGAACACTGGGTTATATCTAGGAAGGCTAGCTAGGAAGACACTGGAGTAGCAAGCGGCTGGCCACCATACATCCTAGCCATGCAAGAAGCATTACTCATCCTGCTGTTCATCAGCTTCCTGGTGACAATGGTGTCAGCCACCCCTTCCGAGCCTGGCATATCATTGCCAGGGTGCCCCAATAAGTGTGGCAATGTATCCATTCCCTACCCCTTCGGCATCGGCGCAAGCTGTGCTGCAACCAACCTCAACTCCTACTTTGCTCTGACATGCAACGACAGCTTCCAACCACCAAGACCTATGTTACCTATGTTTGGTGACTCTCCCAGAGATGTAGAGGTCATTGACATCTCCTTGGAGCATGGTGAGGCCCGTGTTTATAGCGATGTCAGCTACATCTGCTTCAATTCAAGCACCAGATCATACAACGAAACCGCTGGGTTCAACCTGGATAGCACGCCATTCATGGCCTCCACCCGCAACCATTTCACGGTCATTGGCTGCAACACCCTCTGGCTCATCGGTGGTTTCACGAACAAAAACTCTGATGATGATCTGCATGTGGCTGGCTGCTACTCCTACTGCGAAGGCATCAACAGCACATCTGACGGGGTGCCGTGCACAGGGACAGGATGCTGCGAAACTGCCATCTCCTCCAACCTCACAGACTTCGAACCAATGATCACAATGAACGAGAGCAGTGTGTGGGACTTCAACCCATGCTCCTATGCGATGCTTGCCGAGGCTGGGTGGTACAGCTTCAGGAGCCAGGACCTCATCGGTCACCTTGGGTTCATCTATGACAGAGCTCCTAGAGGTGTCCCTGTCGTCATGGACTGGGCCATTAGAAACAGTTCCTGTCCCAAGGATGGGGCAAAAGCACCAGAAGACTATGCTTGTGTCAGTTCAAACAGCTACTGTGTGAATGCAAGGAATGCTACAGGGTACTTGTGCAACTGCTCTATAGGTTATGAGGGCAATCCTTATCTTCCCAAAGGTTGCAAGGGTAAGTATTTTCTTGCTGTGTAAACTAGAATTTAGAAATCAAGGTCAACAACTGCAAGAAAAAGTCTAGCCAACACATGATTAGAGCCAATCACAGCCCAAAAATTTACTAGTTCAAGATATCAAAACTTATTTGTTACTTGTCCAACATATCTTAAGGAAACTTCATACACTGATGTACTTTGCATTTTTCCTAAATCCATATTAATATGTTTTCAAATTCTAACTTCGTTCAGATATAGATGAGTGCAAGCTGCGTAAGCAGGACGCTAGGTACAAAAAACTATATCCATGTGAAAATGGACGCTGTCACAATACACCAGGAGGCTATATATGCAAGTGCAGGATAGGAACAAGATCAGATGGTACAAATTCAGGATGCCGACCTGTGCTTATCAAAGCTGAACAGGCAGTTATAGGTAAGGATCATAATTGAGAGCAGATTTTAAATCTATCTAAGGTTTTTTTTCTAGGTTTTGAGGCACTCACATACAGAGTAACCATTGTGCAGGTCTCAGTGTTTCTGCGGTTCTAGTGATATCTTTGACATGCTTATTGGTTATTAAATTACAACAAAGGAAGCATAGGAAGGAGAAGGATGAATATTTCAAACGAAATGGGGGTCTGAGATTATATGATGAGATGAGATCAAGGCAAGTTGACACCGTTCTCATACTCTCAGAGAACGACATCAAGAAAGCCACAGACAACTTCAGTGAAGATAATATTCTTGGATGTGGTGGTCATGGAATGGTCTACAGAGGAACTTTAGATGATAACAAAGAAGTTGCCATAAAGAAGTCTAAACTAAAGGATGATGATGACAGCAGAGAAGAATTTGTGAATGAGATAATAATCTTATCACAAATTAACCACAGGAACATTGTAAGGTTACAAGGATGCTGCTTGGAGGTAGATGTGCCGATGTTGGTGTATGAGTACATTTCCAATGGTACCCTCTTTGAGTTCCTTCATGTCAATGAAAGCAGATCACCAATCCCATTGGATCTTAGATTGAAGATTGCTACACAGTCAGCAGAAGCTCTTGACTACATTCATTCAGCAACTTCTCGCACAATTCTGCATGGAGATGTCAAATCCCTCAATATACTCTTGGATGAAGAATACAATGCAAAAATGTCAGACTTTGGAGCATCCGCACTGAAGCCCTTGGGCAAAAATGATTTCGTTATGCTTATCCAAGGAACTCTTGGTTATATTGACCCTGAGAGTTTTGTCAGTCAGCGTCTGAGTGACAAAAGTGATGTATACAGCTTCGGGGTTGTTCTTTTAGAGTTAATGACAAGAAAGAAGGCTGTATACATTGATACCTCTAATGAAAAGAGAGCACTATCTCATACTTTCATACAGATGTTCCACCAGAACAAGCTCCGTGATATTTTGGACAGTGAAATAGTACAGAATGAAGTAATGATAGTACTTCAGAAACTAGCTGAACTTGCCATGCACTGCCTGAGCCCAAAAGGAGATGAGAGGCCAACGATGAAGGAAATTGCAGAGCGACTACGAATGTTGAGAAGGCTCGACATTCTTAAGGAGGGCCATCAGCATATCTCCTCCCTTCAGATGAGACGGAAGACCTGAGTTTGGAGACAACCAAACTGGTTTTGGAGGTTGTTGTCATGGGCGGAACCAGAGAAAAAACTAAGGGGCGGCCAAGATGAAGGTAAGGCATGGACACAATAACTTCAAGAACTCCTTCACTTTGAAATAACTACTACAACCATGGCTGAAGCAGGAGTATTTAAAAAAAAATCAGACCATAGGGGGGACCTTGGACCCTACTAGCCCCCCTGGTTCCGCTAGTGGTTGTTGTGGACTCCTTTGTGGGCTGGCAATACCGCCAGCGACCGTGCCACCAGAGGAGCCCAAATCGTGGCTAAGTCCAGGCAGGCAAGTAGCTGCACAGCTGGAGGTTGTGGGAAGGAAAATAGGATCTACAGTTAGGAGAGATAATAGGAGATTGGTTATTTAAGTGCACCTGTCGTATAAAAGGCACTCAGTTAGTTTGTAATAGGCATCAAGAGAAATAAACCTTCCCTGGGAAGGGTGTGGGTTTTCTCTCGACGGTGGCGACGGAGCCTTCCGACGCCGCCGCCATCGCCCACAACCGGCCTCCGGTTCCCAGATATCCCCTGCGTTCTTCTTCCCAGTCTCAACTGCTCTTGCATTCTCCCCTGCGCTCTACGCATTGCCCACGCCGTACAGAGGTAGACTTTGCAAGATAACTACATGCAACGTCGCCCCAATTTCTTTTGATGGTTTAAATTTTGCGATGCATAAAAATTGTTTTATGTACTTGCCATACGTTTGTGTGTGTGCACATCAAAATCATCACTCATGTGCTGCAATCTGTCAGAATTAACTGCATCTATAGTCTAAATTGAAACTCTATTTGGGCGTTGAATTAACTTGGTCACATGTACATGTATTCCAAGATTTTCTTACACATTCATTAGAGCAACCTTTCTCCAGATCCAAGATTTGAACATACTGGATTATCATAGATACATATGCAAGTGGAAATGAGTGGTTTAATCAAATCTATGCTACAATGGTAGCCTACATTGTACAGCATTCCATTCCTCTCACCCCCCTACAAAGGCTGGGTGCTACATGGAAATTGGAACCTCAATGGACAACTGCAGTTTATTCGGTACTATGCAGTATCTTATTCTACCAAAAGAAAAACGAGTAGAATAGAAAGGCAAAACAGCTACAAAGATTGCATGACCGAAAGAACACAAACACAAAGCATTTTGAATTGTGGTTGAACAGACAGATTAAGCAGCAAACCTTATCATAGAACCAGAATCCAGCAGACTGTAGATATGCAATCGCCAGGACCTAACTTCAGGCTATCCATTCCGTGCCCGTACAGTTTACAGCGAGCTCGGTACAACTACAAAAGGCAAATATAAGGTGATTATTCGAGTAAGGGCTTAGCATCACACTCGTGCTCACTTGAGGGGGCAGAGGATGGAGAGGCAGGGGCACAGCTCGCGCGGTAGGGGAGCAGACAGCAGAGGAAACGGAGGTGCGTGTGGGCGAGGCCGCGGCTGTACGGGAAGGCGGCGGCGACTGGGTGCGGGGTCGGACGTTTATGGAGAGGCTCACGTGCTAAGCACGTTCTCGAAAAAAAATATATGGAGAGGCTCCGCCAGGCGCCACCGCCGCCGGCTTGCCGAAGGGCAAAGCCTCCCGCCGGCCGACGACAGCTCTCGTCGAGCCGGCGATGTGAGCGAGAGCGGAGCGCGGTCCACCAGCTGGCCGGCCCGTCAAGTGGCAGTCGCGGGCTGACGGCACAGCCCATGAGAGAACTGTCTGTCGGCGTCTTCATACGGCCCATCGTGAGCAAGGCCCATCGTTGTGGGCTTGTGTCGATTATACAGTTTCGTTACATCACATTTGTACGGTTACCACATTTGTTTGGTGACATCCACTCAAAAAAAAAAAAACATTTGTTTGGTGACACATATAGCTGTAGAGGTCATCACATTTGTAAGGTCCTGTTAGCTACAGCTGCTACCGTCATATGGCCTGTATGTAGCTGGTTGCTACTCCTACTGTAAGGCATTGCGAGACCACCATCTCCTCCAATTGTTCAATCAAAGCAGCGTGTGGCAATTCAACTCATGCTTCTGTGCGATGCTTGTCGAGGAAGGACGGTACAGCTTCAGTAGGCAGGATGCCTGGTGTAACTACGAAAACTAGAGTGGTTTCAGGGTTGAGATTTGCCTGACAAGACAATACCATAAGCAAACTTAGGGCCTGTTCGCTTGGAGGAATTTGGATAGTTTGGAGGAATGCTGAAGGAATTTGTGAGAAAAAAACACTGTTTCGGATGAAAAAAAGAAACGGATCAAGCCGGGTTGAAGGACACGCGAACGGGGCCTTACATTCCAGAACAAACACCTTTAGTACGTACTATCAGAATTATGTCACATACCAACTCCAGTGCAAGTACCAGCAACCGCACGGAAAACTTGCTGATAATCAGTCCATGAATCCACTATATATATAAACATCTTTCATCAACTACATATATAATAGGTAAATACAAAAGATCTGCATCAGTCAGACATGAAAACAAACGACACAATGCCACGCGCTACTCTTCCATAGCGTAATCTTCTGTCTGCTGCTGAACAACTTTGACCTTGATCTTTGTTTTCTCAGCTGCGAGCTCGTTGCTAATAAGCTTCTTCGGAAGCATACCGATGTTCTGTGCCACCTCCTTAGAATCTTTTTGGATCTCCTTGCGTTTACCAGGTTTATGTCTGTCAAAACATGTATTCCATGTTAGAAGACAGGAAAATCCTTGCAAAATCGAACAGACAACAAAATTGGAGTAAAAGAACGGACCTGTTTGAAATGTGCTTTTCCAGACGGTCATGCCTAGTCTTTATAATAAGTGGGATAGCCTTCAGAGTTTGCTCCGTCAAATTGCGGTCATAGCTCTCAAACTCAAAAGTTGCATCCTGGTAAATTTCAAATTATATTCAGTCATGGTTTGAATGAATAGGAAGAAACATGACCGACCTTCGTTATTACACGATATCAGAAACAACAAAGTGGTTACTAACCTGGGTCATGTCCTTGACATGCAATTGCCTGTATGCTTTTGTCCACTTAACCTTACGAGGATTCCTCTTCATCTTAAAATTTTTATGGCACTTTGACCGGCAAAAGCGGAAGATCTGGCAAGGAGAAGAAATATCAATATTTTAAGGCAACAAAAGCATATGCATTGCCTTATTTTGCTCTCAAGTATTCATGCAATACAAGTTTCACTTTAGTTTAACAGTCAAGAAATATAAGAAACAAGATAAATTTGAGCATTAAAACCAGCCCCCGCAGGCTCGGAGGATGCCCACAGAGCTTCGAGACAAGTGCTTTAACTGTCTCTCCTACTCACACCGAGTAGCGACTTGTCGGCTGCCAAGGCGTTGCCTGTGCTGTCACGGCTTCGGTCACCTCGCTAGGGACTGCAAGTGGTCTAGCTCTGCGACGTTGTCGACGAAGGGTGGCAAGCCACGCCACTCTCCTCGTGATGTCACGCCGGCCTCCCAGCACGCGCCACGCAACGGTCCACCCTCGGACGGGGCCGCGCAGGGGGCCGTGGGGGGTGTCGGCAGGACCAGCCGACGATGACACCGGCGGCGGCGCCGGAGTAAGCCGGCGAGGGACATCACCATGGGCACGCTTGCCGACTACAACGACAACGTCGCTGCTTCTGCTACTACACTCTGCCCTCCTAAGCCTGATCTGCTAGCGTTGGCGATGTGCGCAAGCGCGGGAACTCCCACATGGGTCGTCTCGGTCAACCCGATGCTGGAGGAGCTCGCCGCCTCGCTCGCCTTGAGCCAGCCAGCGGGATCACCAGCGTGTGGGTGTCTACCTACCCAGGCGGCAGCCCCTCAGGAGGTTGAAGCACCGTTGGTGGACACCCGTTCTCTGGCGATGGCTGCTCAGGTGACGACGGACTCGCCTCTGTTGTCGTAAGTGCAGGGGCTCCCACAACTCACGCCATCACGGGTGGGACAACCCTGCGTCGCAGATGAGCCCACCCCTGGCAACGCGACGCCCACACCACGGGAGGCTGCTCGACGTCTCGCACGGTTCACCGAGGAAGTGCAGCTTAAGCGGTAGTCGCCATTAATCGTCAGTCCACCAAGGCAGAAGGAGGCAACCACAAGGCATTCCCTGCCGCTCAGGAGCAGACGGATTGCCACTTAGCCGCTGGCGCACATACCGACCGCCAAGCGGGGTGAGGTACTCCTCATGCAGAGGATGGGCATCGTGCCGCCGGCAGCTCCAGTTTCATCCGCGTCCATTTCGCAGGGAACTTGACGCCGAGCCACGTGGAAGCTCTGGACGAGCTGTTCCCAGCAACCAACAACAGGGCTGGTAGAAGAGCGCTCTTCTCGGACGGCGAAGTAGGGCCGCGTAGCCAAGAGCGGAGACGCCCGGCTTCGTAGGTTGCTGCGCTACTCTTAGTTCGGTTGTATACCATTTATGTAATATCGAAGTTTGAAGCAGTATACTAGGATGGTCCAGTCACAGTTGTAAGACCTAGAGCGCTCATCAGAAGCGTGTTGTTTGTATGGTTAAACTCTTCTTCTTAATTACAATGATACGCAAGTCTTTTGCGTATTCGAGAAAAAAGAAATCATAATCCATGGGGACAGACATAACAAATCAGTCAAAAAATTACAACATCGCATTTTACGTTTCAATTTCAGTCCACAGGAAAAATATAACATCACATGTTACGTTTCAATTTCAATCCACAAGAAAAATATAACATCGCATTTTACGTTTCTATTTCAATCCACAAGGAAAATATAAACTCTGAATATTTTAATAGGGATAATCATCAATCAAGAGAAGAATGTAAACTGATGGGTCATATTTAAACACAGCTAATGAAGAATCTTTATAAAGTTTAAGCAAAAAAGTTTCATTTAAATACAGCAACAAAATAAAAGATCCAACTTGGAATAATAGTTAAAGATTGTAGTTTGACCATCCGTCCAATATAACACTACGAGGTGGTGCTTACAAGGCAAATTGATGTTTAGTAACTAAGCAACTTTAACACCTGAAAGTTTTACATTTTAAGCACATACAATTTTTGAAAGGTATGTTTGTCGCAACTACCAAAATACCATATCGTTCCTTGAAGAACACTGTACGTTCCTAACAAATACACATTACAAAGACCTAACAAGCCTACATATTCTTATATCGCAGACCTAACAATGTGGTATTTAATTTTTCCCTTTAATTCATCAAGGAAGCCACTTTTCACAGAATACAATAAATAACATGTATTGGACTCAAAGCAGTACAAATAAGCTTTGTATTGTTCCCTGAAGAACACTGTACATTCCTAACAAATACACATACACATTACAAAGATCTTAAAAGCTTACATGTTCTTATATCGCAGACCTAACAGTGTGGTATTTAATATTTTCCTTGAATTCATCAAGGAAGCCACTTCTCACATAATACAATAAATAACAATTATGGGACTCAAAACAGTACAAATAAGCGTTATTGCAGAACCAGGATAGCATATAAATGAATAAATGGATTAATTAGAAATTACATGCAAAATGAAATGGAAAACAGAATTACGCATGCTGGAACAGTACAAACCATACAAACAAATTTTGTTAGATCTTCATGTGCACTGACTTAACTACGCTCATCAAGAAACAACAGCAGAAGGGAAACCCCCATTGGACAAAGAGGAAAGAACTCTTTTGTCCAACTGTCTCACAAATAAAGCAGGTAACTAAGGTAGAATCTATAGCTAGTAGTCCCAAAACCAGATATTGACTCTTATTTTTTCCTACAATGCAGTGATCCAGAAACAAAATTATAACCATAAGAAAATACTTTCAGACGTGAATCCAATGATATCATTTCCATACTAACAAAATGTTCATCTTTTGAGGCTAATTGTAGGTTGAAGATTACAAAGTTTGGCTTAATGCGCATGAGCGTGAGCTTAATGCACACGAGCCTTTATAAAATGAAGTGGACGGAATAGCCAAACTACCAATCAGTGGTACAGTTACCATGCATGTAAGCTGCAGCTTCTCAGCCAAATAATTAGGTTTCTTAAGTTTCTCAGGTGAAGACCAGAGTTTGGTTCTAACATCTTTTATGCCGTGTTCAGTGTTTACAACAAAGCAATTCTATGCATTATAAGCAGTGCCATGTGATTTACATCTACATCTAATTAGCAGCAGCAGCAACAACAACAACAACAACATAGCCTTTCAGTCCCAAGCAAGTTGGGGTAGGCTAGAGTTGAAACCCACCAAGAGCCCCAAGTCACGGTTCAGGCACTTCAATAGCTACTTTCCAAGCACTCTTATACAAACATAGATCTCTAGGTATATCTCAAGCTTTTAAATCTCATTTAATTGCCTCTCCCATATCAATTTCGGTCTTCCTCTACCTCTCCACATATTATTAGCTTGGCTTAGGACTCCACAATGCACTGGTGCCTCTGGAGGTGTCCTTTGGACATGGCCAAACCACCTCAACCGATGTTGGACAAACTTTTCTTCAATTGGGGCTACCTCTAGACGATCATGTATATCATCGTTCCAAACTCGGTCCATTCTTGTGTGACCGCAAATCCATCGCAACATATGTATTTCCGCAACACTCAGTTGTTGAACATGTCGAATCTTTATAGGCCAACATTCTGCTCCATACATCATAGCCGGTCTAATCGCCGTTCTATAGAACTTGTCTTTTAGCTTTTGTGGTACCCTCTTGTCACAGAGAATGCCAGAAGCTTGTCGCCACTTGATCCACCCTGCTTTGATTCTATGGCTAACGTCCGCATTAATATCTCCATCCCTCTGTATCATCGATCCCAGAAACCGAAATGTATCCTTCTTAGGCACTACTTGACTTTCCAAACTCACATCTCACTCCTCCTGTACAACTCCGCCAAAGTCACATCTCATGTATTCAGTTTTAGTTCTGCTCAATCTAAAACCTTTAAACTCAAAGGTCTGCCGCCATAACTCTAGTTTCCTATTTACTCCTGCCTGGCTTTCGTTCACTAACACTACATCATTAGCGAACAATATACACCAAAGGATATCCCCTTGTATGTTCCTGGTAACCTCATCCATTACCAAGGCAAAGAGATACGGGTTTAAGACTGGCCCTTGATGAAGTCCAATTTTAATCGGGAAGTAATCTGTGTTACCATCGTTTGTTCGAACACTAGTCACAACATTGTTGTACATGTCCTTGATGAGGGTCACGTACTTTGATGGAACTTTATGTTTGTCCAAAGACCACCACATAACATTTATTGATATCTTGTCATAAGCCTTCTCCAAGTTAATGAAAACCAAGTGAAGGTCCTTCTTCTGCTCTCTAAACCACTCCATAACCTGTCTTATTAAGAAGATTGCTTCTATGATTGACCTTTCAGGCATGAAACCAAATTGGTTTGTTGATATCTGCGTCGTTCCTCGCAGACGCTGCTCGATGACTCTCTCCCATAACTTCATAGTGTGGCTCATCAACTTAATTTCAAGATAATTAGTATAACTTTGGATATCTCCCTTGTTCTTGTAGATTGGTACCAATATGCTTCTTCTTTACTCTTCAGGCATCTTGTTCGATCGAAAGATATTGTTGAACATCTTGGTTAGCCATACTATAGCTATATCCCCGAGACATCTCCACACCTTGATTGGGATACCATCAGGGCCTATCGCTTTGCCCCATTTCATCCTTTTCAAGGCTTCTCTGACCTCTGATTCTTGAATCCTCCGCATAAAGTGCCTGTTAGTGTCATCAAACGAGTCGTCCAGCTGAACGGTGGTGTTCTCGTTCTCACCATTGAACAATTATCAAAATACTCTTGCCATCTATGTCTGATCTCATCCTCCTTCACCAAGAGCTGCTCCCTCTCATTCTTTATGCACTTGACTTGGTTGAAGTCCATTGTCTTCCTATCGCGAGCCCTAGCCATCCTATAAATGTCATTTTCTCCTTCCTTCGTACTCAAACATCGGTAAAGGTCCTTATAGGCCCACCCCTTTGCCTCACTCACCGCTCATTTTGCAGTCTTTTTTACCACCTTGTACTTCTCTATGTTGTTTGCACA